TGGAAAAAGTGACTGACTAGGCGAACTAGACCCAGAAAGAAACACATCCTCAGGTAATTACCAAGCAAGGGATACCCCCTTTCCCAAGCCTTGCGCGGTCCCGACCAGTGGAACCGAGGAGCCTGGGAGACTCAGTTCAGCGATGTGAATCGGCGGGTCCTTTGAGATTACTCCCTGGGCCTCAAATTTTGGGATGCTTTGACCATCCGCGGTAAGAGCAACCGGTGCTTCCGCAAGGGCCAACAGGCCCCACCGCGTGTGAACCGTGAGGCAAAAGGACCCAAATGCTCGGGCGCCGTGTCGCCGGCAACAAACCGCTGACGGGAGACCAGGGTCCTTGGCCTCGAAAGTGGTGGGGTGGGAGCCGTACTCCTCCGCCTTCTGCGCCATGAGGCCCACGTTGGGGCAGGCCCCCATCGTCCTCCGGGCATGATTTTGGCCCCTCCCAGCCACTAGTCGGTCCCTATGGAAGAAAGGAGCGCGCACTATTAGAGACATCACCGCTACAACCACAAAAAGCACCAATTTGCCTGGTACATGGGCATGTCCCAATTTGATTCCTGGTCCGTTCACCTTAAAAGCGGTTTTGAAAAATACCCAAAGGGAGACCAAAGAACGTTCTGCCAAAACGGGCGAAGGGTCTTGGGGTCAAAGGCGCCGTGCTTCTTGCAGAACTCCACGCACTCGCTGAAAACACCGGCGTAGGAGCGGTCCGGGATGGTGGCCTTGCAAGGAAAGGACCCGCAAATGGGGAGGCTGGCCCCTGTTCCGTTCTTCCACTACGAGAAAAAAAGGAAAAATCATGCACAAGGTCAAAAGGTCGGATTGGGCAAATAGCCTTGAAGTCCTGCTCTGTGTCGTCCACATCCCACATCTTGCCGCCAGCACGGATGGCTGTGGGCATGGAATTATCGATGATGATGTCGCTCGGCACATGAAGGTTGGTGATACCTGAATGCGAGAAGCCCCGATAGGCAAGAACTAAGGTTTGAGCAACGGACCCTGGCAAAATACACTGGCCACTCAGTTGAGTCGTTTGTAGTACTTTGCGCTGCAAGCGCCACCGGTCGACGCTTAAGACATGGGGCCCCCTAGTTGTAAGGGAGCTCACGAATGGCACCTCAAGCGCCAAAAGGCCTTACAACCTGCACAAGCCACTCACATGTGGGAGTGGCAGCTGGCACCCGATGCCCATCTTTGCTCGCCCAGCCGAACCGTGCAAGCCACGGACACATGTTCCAGGCGCGGCTGTCCCAAGTCCCAAGACAACTACAGCCCCGTATGCAGGACTCATCCCACCAAGCGGGAGAGACCCCAGCTCCAAGGCCATGTCCTGGTCAACACCTTGGCTCACCTAAGCCCATGTCCACTCGCGCACACACACACACACAGACACAGACACAGACACAGACACAGACACAAACACAGACACTCTCACACACACACACACACACACACACAAACACACACACACACACACACACACACACACACACACACACACACACACACACACACACACACACACACACACACACACACACACACACACACACACACACACACACACACACACACACACACACACACACACACACACACACACACACACACACACACACACACACACACACACACACACACACACACACACACACACACACACACACACACACACACACACACACACACACACACACCCACCCACCCACCCACCCACCCACCCACCCACGCACGCACGCACGCACGCACGCACCACGCACGCACGCACGCCGCACGCACGCACGCACACGCACGCACGCACGCACGCACGCACGCACGCACGCACGCACGCACGCACGCACGCACGCACGCAGCACGCACGCCACGCACGCCGCACGCACGCACGGACGCACGCACGCACGGCGCTCGCGCCGCACCGCGCCGCCGCGCAACGCACCGCCACGCACCGCCACGCACCGCCACGCACCGCCACGCACCGCCACGCACCGCCACGCACCGCCACGCACCGCCACGCACCTCCACGCACGCACGCACCCACGCACCCACCCGCGCACCCGCGCACCCACGCACCCGCGCACCCGCGCACCCACGCACGCACCCTCGCACTGCACGCAAGCACACGCACGCACGAACGCGTGAACGCAGCCAGCTAGCTTGCTAGCTAGCAAGCCCATCCCTTCCTACCTATCCACTTCCAAGCCTATCAATCATCAAGAGTGGATAGGTGGGGAAGGGATAGGATGTAGGTAGGAAGTTCCGGAAGGTAACCAAATATCCTGTCTTTCATTATTTTCTTTTCCTTCGCCTTCCCCATCTAATTATCTGCTACTTTGGGAAGGCTTAGCAGGAAGGACATCATTCATTATTTGTTATCTTTGTAGACTGCTTTTCTGCAAGAACCCCTTTTTGCCTTTACTACCTCTAATTCTCTTTACAAAATTATTTTAATATTAACTATGCAATCCTTATCTAATTATTTTCTTTCTCATATAATCACATTTCTAATTCTATCGCCAGCGATCCAGCCAGCCAGCAAGCCGGCGAGAGCACGCGACTGAAGAGAAACGGAAACACCATCTCTTAAGCCTTCCGGTGGCAAGGTGCCCTTATGAGAGTCCACCATGGCCATGCGTGGCTGCTTCTCATAGGTCGCCTTGATGTCTGCCTCAATTGCCTTGCGCTCCTCCTCCGGCAAGGTGGCGATCTTCTTGTAGAGGTCGCCCAAGCCGTTGTTGGCGTCCACCCCGAGCTTCTGGAAGGTGCCCGCGTACTTGGCGAAGACATCCTTGAAGTAAGCCTTGACGCAGTGGCCGAACATGATGGGATCCGACACCTTCATCATGGTCGCCTTGAGGTGCAGGGAGAACAGCACTCCGCGCTCCTTCGCATCGGCAATCTGCTCCTCGTAGAAGCGGTGGAGCATCTTGCAGTTCATGAAGGAGGCATCCAGCACCTCGTCCTTCTGCAAGGGCAGCTTGTCCTCCCAACGGCGTCTGGCTACATAGTTGTGGAGCTATCCGAAGGTCAAGGGAAATGCGAAAGCGCCCGGATCCCTCCTGACAGTTAGTTCTCTACCAGTTGGTTTTCTGGTGGTCTGAAGCCATAGAGCCATGCCATGACAAACTGCCCGAAACTGCGTCATCCCCCACGTTTCACGCTCACCACTGGTAAATCATACGAAGTTATGCATAAAACGCTTGTCTGTTGCTTGTTTTTGGTCACTGGGATCAACTGGCACCGGCTTCAGATCCTTCAGCACCGTGACCTGGCCATCCTCCGACAAGTGCTCGATCCGCACCTCGCAGGCCTCCTGGGCTGAAAATTGCGGACCCTCCCCACCCGTTGGACGCTACGACTCCATTGGACAAAACGCCTTTGGGGTTTGGTCGGGGCGAGTCCTTGACCACCACGGACTTCTCGTGGGAGTAGAAGTCCCCGTCCTCCATGGAGCTCACGTGGGTCTTCGACTCTGGCACCCACTTGCCCATGCCTGAGCTGATCGCAGGTTTCTCACAAAATGCGGCCGCAATACAGGCAATACATGAAGTCTAAGCCCACACCAGGAGTGGCTGAGACCCCGTTGCTGTTGCCGGAAAACCAGCAGGCAAAGTGTCCCGCCCTCTCCCCCCCGGTTGGCTTGGTCACTGTGGGGATACTTGAAGGCGTACTCCTTCACAGGGTTGGGAGAGCCAATTGTCTTACCAATCAAACATGCTTGGACCATGTTTCAAACAACCTCGGCTGTGTACAACAAGCTCCGGGTTTCCATGAAAATTTAAAGTAGCGCTGGGATCTGGTTTGCACAACTTTTCTTGCAACCCTCCTTCACCGGCACGGCTGCCCGGCGGTCCGAGTTCCCTTCCCGCAGCACGGGATTCACCGCGCTGCCCAGGACTTTGGCATAGCGGGCCTCCGATGGCGCGGCGCACTCATGCGCCCCAAGACACTGCGAATCCCCCAATGGACCCACCAAAGCAAAACACGTGACAATGCCCTCTTTGCAACAAGCATGAAAGTGGGTAGGTCCGCCCGAAACTCTTGTCAGCTTCCATCGGAAGACTTTAGGACCAAACCTGAGAGGTTCTATGGTGGGCTGGGAAGAATCCAGTACTTGCACAGCGGTTTCCTGTTTGAATGCGGCCACGCAGAACAACAATGCACTTACACGGCTTCCCTTCTCGCATTCTTTGCAACTACAACCGGGTTGAACTGGTTAGCAAACAAGCTTTGTCCACCCAGCCTTGATCTCCTTCTCCTGCTCATCCTTCGGGTCCTCTGGGTAGTTGGGGATCTTGTAGCCCTTTGCTTGTAACTCCGCGATGCACTCCTTGAGCTGCGGGATGGAGGCACTCACGTTCGGCAGCTTGATGATGTTGGCCTGGCCCCCCTTCGCCATCTTCCCCAACTGTGAGAGGATGTCCTCAGGGGCAGACATTGTCTGAACACGCTGACCCGACCTGCGCACGAGGGACGCTAGAACGCAAGGCTGGTTTTGAGTTTAGGCAACAACGGCCCAACCAAGGCAACAGCCCAAGCGCGGGCCTCCTCCTTCTGCTCTGGCGTGAGAAAGTCTGGAAACTGCGAGAGCACCCGCCCCGCCACTGAGATGTCCTTCAGCTCCACAGGTACCTTGGCCTGAGAGCAGAAGGCCTGCACGATAGGGTAGAAGGCATGAGTGGCCAGCATCGGCGCCTCATCCGTGTAGGTGTACATGATGCCATTAGCAGAGCTCATCGTGCCCAAAGTGCTGGGATGACAATCTGCGCGCTCGATCAGCTCTAGGTTGCTTGTGCCCAAATGGCTCACCAACCTCCTGTGGAAGAAGCACCCAAACTTCCTTGACCAAACCCAAGAACCAGCAAGCAGGACACGCCAAAGACGCTGAATAACCCACGGGCGCAAATAGGATCGCAAACCCAACGCCTTGCTGCCCAACATCCCTGCAAGCCCCTTGGCGTTCAATCCGCTGGAAACCCGGAGCTGTCTGAGAGCGGCGCCATGATGCCCAGCACGAGCAGCAGCTGAAAGCTCATCAGCCCGAAGGTTTTCATGCGAAAAGCCCTGCGAGCGCCCATTCGGTACTGTATATTTTGGGGCAGGGCCAGTTGAAGCACCCTCACCCGCAAGAAACGCAAATGGCAAATCACAAAGCCTGACCCTAAAGCGAACTTATATTGAGGATACCGGGTGAGCTCTTTTGGGGCATTGTCATGTTTTCTTCGAGGGTGCCAATGCGGCATCCACCGAAGGATGCCGAAATCACAAATCTTAAGGCAACTGATGTACGCGCACATAGTGCAAGCAACAACTATTGAAACCAGCTCGTCCCGAATTATCAAGCATCTTGGGGCAACTTCTGGCAACCTGCCTCGAATCACGAGAAAAAAGCACGAGGCAGTGACAAAGTATCTTTTCTAAGTGGCCAGGTCAGGGATCAGTGATTAGCCAGCCCAAAGGCCCTTAATTTTGAACAGCGTGCAGTCTAAACCAGAGGCGACTTGTGCATCTTCAATCACGAAAACTTGTGGGGTCCACTCGTGCGTGGTGCCCCGCATGCCCCCACATGCTTGGCCACCACCTATGGCAGGCATTGGCACCGGGGTTCAAGTGAGCCAACTTGAAGGTTCACTGGCAAACTGGGTTGTTGAAAATGGAGGATCCGAATCATTGATAGCCTGTGAGACACCGCAACAAGGGACGCCCACAGACCATAGTCCTCCGCATGTATCTTGGCAGCTGCCCCACTGTGGTCGGGTATCGCCACATGGACCTGGCCATTGAAGAACAGACTCGAACTGAAATGCAACCCCAAGACCCAAAGCTGAAGACTTTGGAGACACAAAAGGGACCGGTCGGCTAATCCTCATGAGTGGGAGTGGGAGGGCCTTTCCAGAAAACAGACATTGGAGAGAAGTCCCAAACTTGCCCAAATCCTCGTCATGCACGGCAAAAATGTCAGCGAGCCAGGTCAGGAAACCAGCCGCCCTGCCCCACACAGCACCTACCGCTCAAGGTAGTCATCCTGACAACAAGGCCAGCGGGTTTGGTGCCATCTGCAGCTAGCGTTTTGCAACTGTCCGTAAAATCTCTCTGTGGTACATCCGTTCGGGATTGTGAGTTTGGGTGTGGGCTTGGGATGGTGGGCTCAAGGCGTGGCTAGGGCTGGCTCCGGCAGTCTTCTGCATTTGGAGAGGCTTGCGGCCTTGGACTGGTGCTGGTTTTGCTCTGGTGGGCGCGGTACTAGCCTTCTCACCAAGTGAAATGGCATAAAACATACCTCTGAACTTCCACCAGCCAAGCCGAAAAGTCATCACACCTAAGAATGTCCGTAGTGGTCACCTTGCGGCAACGCTCTGTACGGCCCTCCAAGACAACTCCAACGAAAATCGGCAAACATAGAAAGAAAAAGCCACCGACAAGCGGACACCCGTGGGCACATTCAATCCCTTTGCCAGAAGGTGCCAGCTTTAAAAATCACGAGAATGCCACAAATGTCCTTGCAACTCTTTCCGCCCATTTTCAGCTTAAAACAAACCGCTGGCTTTGGAGTGGGCAAGGGCGCTTGGGCTCCGAAACCTTTTGGCACCTTTGCACGACAAATCAACTTGAGCCTTGTGAGACGCGGACATTTTTGTCTCCCTGCCTGTGGGACAAAGACCTTAAGCTGAAGATATACCTGGGCAAGGCAAACCCATGGGATGGAAACGGATCAGAGGTAGCAGGCCGGACGCTCCAGGCAGCCCCGTTGCTGGACAACATCGGGCACTTTGTTTGCAGGTGGGAAAGCTGACGAAAGGGCTGCAGTGCACCAAACCGCTCATTATAGCACTACATATTGCCATCTGCTCTTGTATCCCCTTCCCGCATTCCACGACGTCGGATCATGTCGGATGTGTAAACGATGTGCAGAGCAATCCTTGTCGTTCGCTCCGCCAAAAGCCTGCCAAATTTCCGAAACAATGAAGGCCATCCGTCCACCCCGTCACCCAATCACTTGTGAGGCCAGCCACAACATTTAATTTGTTCCCCTGCCTGCCGTTGCCCCCCTGAAACGAGGTATGGAGGTTGGCAGGAAACCGAGCGCCCCGCCGAGCTCGATGGGCGTCTGCCTAACCAAGAACAACACTGATCCACAAATGAAGCGCCATGAGCCCAGTTCAAAAGTGTGCAAATGGCGCAAATGGGATGACATCGTTGCCGAATGTTGCCGCGCACCACAAACTGGCTACCACGGCATCTGCGCGCCTGTTGTGTTCCAGCTTGTTCTGGCAGAGATATCCTCACCCTGTTTGGTAGTCTCGCCGTACTCACAGGAAATGACCGCACTACCCTTACCACAAAACTTATCCTTGATAACTTGAAAAGCTTCCTGGCTCTGAAGAGGACAGGAAGCCATTCTAGAGTCAGTGGGCAAAATCCGGTGGCGCGTCAATTGGGGCTACTTCGCTACCTCGGTGCACCCAACACGTAACATCATTCCGGCAAAGTTTGCCACACATCAAGCCCGATTTGCACATGTTCCTCTAGTTGTTCCTTTGGTGGTACTCGCTTGCTGTTGGGTGAGAGGGGTAGCTCTGCCACAAGTCTGAGTGGCAAAGGATTGGTTTTGTACCGGCTTCATTCCAAACACCACCCCTTCGTGACTCCAAGCCTGTTTTTTTCCAGTCTTACGCTGTTCCCATTGCTCGGCATGACCAGGGCCTTGCCTGAGTGCAGCGAGCTACATACCCTCAAACGTTCCGTTGATGAACGCCTATTTGAAGCGCCCGGGTGCACGAATCATGAATATAGCTCGAGCGGAACAGTCGCCACGCGGCGACCGCTGCAATTAGAGTGGTGATCAGAACGAGGATCGCATCGCTACGAAGCCTGACCGCCACAAAGTCTTGCAAAAAACGGTGGTAGGCATGTTTCATTACAATGATCGCTACGCTGACCAGCCAACGAAGTATCATCGACCGTCGCAGGAGCTCTGCTTCCAGACCATGGAAACCGCAAAGGTTGTGATGGCTAGCCATGGCTGGCCCTATACTGGCCCACCATGACACCAGGTTCATGACAACTGGACCAATGTCTTCCCATTCACCGACCCGACGGAGGCAGCGGCAGAGTCCATTTACCCGCAGACCACTGGCATACCGGCGTCCAGTATGGAAAGGAATGTAGAGGAGACGCTTGCTTCACAGAAGTCCGCTGTCCCAATGTGAAAGTAGAGGGAAATCAGCCGCGGGGAAAAAAAAAAACGCGGGCCAGCAAGCCAAGGAATGCCAAGACAACGCCAGGGAGCTGAGCATCACAAAGTTGACGATCTTCTGTGGGCTCTGAATTCTTGATGTTTGCCCCAAGGATCAGGATGGCTTGCGACTTCTTCACCTCATCTTTCTTAGTTTGTGCATGGCAATTTCCGCGGGGATGGAGTATTCAGCACAGCAGGAATCATGACGAAAGCCCCCGCCATGGGCAGCAATGGTGTGACGTTGCGTTGTACCAGAGCAGGTGTGTCCAAGAGGGGCCAAAAGACCTGGAACATCTTCATACTCACGAAGCTGTGGTGATACAAGAATGACCTGACAGCCCCTGTATCTTGCACAAATTGACCCCACAAAGCCACATGCTTGCCGCTGCTTGCAGGTGAGTGCCCTGACATGCTGAGATGTGGTGGGGCTTCTCCCTGCTACACTGCAGGATGGCAGTTGCATCGCACTCTTCAGCATTACCAAGGGACCGCTTCAATGACTTGCCATCGGACGGCGTCGTCTTGATACTGAGGTTGCAAGCTGCCCGGAGGGAGATGTGAAACTCTAGCTCTCTCTCTAGCCCTTGCTCGACTCGCTTTCGAAAATTGAGGACTGAGCGCTGGCCTTGAAAAACCCAAGCTGAGTGCTCAGCTGTTGCAGCCCTCCCGCACTGACGGCTCTTTTCCGCCTGGGGCGCCCTGCATCCGTGGCTTCTGATGCCTCGACGTCCTCCTGGAAAGTCACCGTCCTGAGGGCGCCGCTGCGAGCATTTTAAACATGCTCACGCATCAGCAATCTCTCCATCAACAACCAAAATAGCATGTTGTCATAAGTTTCGCTTTTCCCGACCATGGTAACCAGCATCACGCTGATAACAAGAAGTGAAAATGACTATGACACGTTGTGAGGCCCGGTTGGCGGGTCCCCTGCTCAAGAACCTCAAATGCACTGCACATGCTGAAAATGCGTTCCTTCATGGCATGGAAACATTGCAACTTGTGTGACATGGAGCGCTCTGCTTTGGATGCGCGCTCCTTGTAGGACATCCACGTGCACTTGC